AATATTTAATAAGACTGAATTCATAACATCAGTTTACAAAATGTAATTCACTTCTTAATTAGGCAAACTGAAAACTCCTAGTTTGGAAGCATGCAGTAGTGTAGACTGTTAATCTCAGCATTCTTTGCTTTTATTTACTGTCCTTTCTCCATCCCTTTGTTTCTGCTCGGTAAACTCCAGAGGCTTTATACTGGGTTTTTTCCCCTCACTTTTTCACTCCCACTAAAGTAAAAGATGACAGGTAATAATATAATGTGTGGTAGAAGGAGAAATGCTGACAGACATTGTGTTACTTTGCTTCAATTAGGCTCTAATTACTTCTTCTCTTCAATTAGAAAATCACATGAACCAATTATGCCAGATAATATGTGCTTATCCTATTCAAACTGCACAATGGGTAAGGTCTATTCACATTGATTATCTTCAATTTATGCTTTTAGCCTTTTTTTCCCTTCTGTCTGCATGGCCCATTACAGTTTTAAAGTGGAAGCTCTTAAGCAGTTCACAGTATTATGATATCATTCATAACAATTGTTATGTTTTGATGGAAGAAAAATTTTGATGCCTTGAATGCAGAGCGGAAAATCTCTTTGGATTGAATGTATTCCAATTTTGCTATTTTGGTTAACAATATTCCCATGGTTTTTTAAATAAATATGATACAATGCAGTCTACTGTTAATGGGCAGAGCTCAGTGAAACAGTTGGTTCTATGGGAACAAAGGCAGATTTCAAAACCAAACACAGGGTATTGAACGCAAGAACTGCTCATTCATTGTCAGCACAGAGGTATCAGTCCTAAAAGCCCTATCAGGCCCCATTTGTGAATGATCTACAGAGTGTAAGGCAATCAGCAAAAGCAAAGTGACAAGCTTAAAACCTAGAAGTGAAGCCATAACAATGTTTCCCTGCAAAATAAACGGAGGAGAAACATCATGTAAACCCTCAGCAGTCAAACAGCTCGATAGGTCTAGGTGAGCAGAAAATGGTAAGAAACAACACTGAATACTAGAGGCAACTTACATATTTCACCTCTTCTTTTATAAGAATGTAAAGGATTATGCTGATACATGGTTTTATCTATCCTTGCACTTAACTGAGGAAAAAACGTCTTTTAATTCTCCAAGCAGTAAATAGAGAACACACCCCTTGCTGTCCAGCACTCTCCAGAGATGGCCAAACACCAGGTAAGCTTCAACTGATTCCTATCTCAGTGACATGACACCTATCTCAATCAGTGGGAATCTTTCATGCTTAGAACACACAAACTCCACTCACACTGGTTTGCTTGAATAGAGTTTATATGCAAAGAGGAGAACTCTATTTCCTGTGGAACAAAGTAGATACAAAAAGACAACAACAACAAAACAAACCAAAACAACCATCCAACCAACCACAACAACAAAAAAACCCACACCAAACAAAAAACACAGAAGTTCTCAAAACTGATATTCTCCTTTCTTTCACTGGGGTGGGGTAATGACCCTTGGAAGCTCAGTCATCCCAGAAAAGACTTCAAGACACCGCTAAAAGCGTGGTGCTTCCTCTGCTACACAAGGCAAACAAATCCTTCTCTCAAAGGAAGGAAATAATTTCAGAGACTACTGTTTTAAGCATGAATTGTTAATTTTCCCCTATGTGCCTCATCTACTGCACATCATGTGCCATTTCATTGTCCAGTCACTCAGTCTTATAAGGTCTTACTGCAATTCCTGATCATTAGCTCTTGTCCATACTACTCTGAACAGCTTGGTTCGTTATTGGTCCATACATTCCTCTTCCTAATGTTTGGAGGACATATCAGCTTAAGGTCTCTTTTAGTTTACCTCATTGTATTTTGAAATTCACCCTAATTTATAACATCTTCTATTTTCTTAATTTAGATTCAATCTCAATTTTTAAAAAACTGTTTTTCCTACTACCAACATTTCTTGCCCTAAGATTTAGCTACATCAATCACTTTTTACTCCTTTCTCAAGTCTTTCCACACAGATGCTGTGTATCAGCCCTGTACTTCCAATAATACATCGTTATTAAGTGTCATCCGAGCTACATGCAGGGATTTTATTCTTTTAGATGTCCCTTTTAGCTTCTTTTAGAAGAGACTAGTTCAGGTGGAAGGGTCCTACAACTAATATCTAATCCTACTACCTGACCAATTCAGGGCTGACTAGAAGTTAAAGCTTGTTATTAGGGGCATTGTTTAAATGCCTCAATCACTGGCAGGCCTGGGGCACAGACCACCTCTCTAGGAAGCCTGTTCCAGTGTTTGACTGTGCTCTCAGTAAAGAAATGCTGTCTAATGTACAGCCTAAGCCTCCCCTGGTACAGCTTTGAACCACTGCCACATGTCCCACCACTGGATACAGGGAGGAGATGAGCACCTCTCTCTCTACTTCAAGTTCTCAGGAAGCTGTAGAGAGCAATGATGTTGCCCCTCAGACTCCTTTTTTCCTAGCTAGACAAACCCAAAGTCCTCAGCCGCTCCTCACAGGACAATCCTCCCAGCCCTTCCACCAGCTTTGTTGCCCTCCTCTGGACATCCAAGGACCTTTATATCTGTCTAAAATTGTAAAGCCCAGAATCACCTATTTCGGTCTGTTCTATTAGCCATCATCATTCAGTGAGCACTGGAGAACAATTAGTAGGGTAAGGTTTCTAAGGTAAGTGGGACAAATCCTGAAGCTTATTTTGACATTCACACTGAGAGCCAGGAGAGTAGCTCAGCCTAGGCACTTAAATTCTTGACGGGTATATTAAATGAGATTAATTTCCAGTGTATTTTGAATACATTATAATAATTTTAAATGGAATTAAAGACTAAAGACTTAAATAAACTTGGGATGATCCAGCCATTTATATTTTATTCTAACTTCCAGTCAAGTATACTAGCAATGAAGACTGTGATCATAGAATCATTTAGGTTGGAAACAACCTTTAAGGTTATCAAGTCTAATCATTAATCTCGCCATTATAGTCCTATACAATCTTATAATTGGACCTAAACTAAAATTATTATATGGTACAAATTGTATCTATTCGTGCTTTTCCTGAGTATTTTAACAGAGTAGAAAGACTAATCTGTGCATAACACAAATATAAACACCTCAGGTATGAAACTGAACTCTTTTTACATGTGGCATACACACATTCATTCTCAAAAAAGAAAGCTGCCCAGGAATAATAAAATCATACAGTTGTGAAATAAAACCAAGGCAAAAATTAAAGAGTTAAACAAAGGCAAGCTATTTTGTATAACATTATGAACATGAAATGTGTATTTGTCAAAATGTAATTACAAAGAACTCTTCATATTACATGATATAATGAATGTCATAATACAAGTTCAAACATCACAGGGAAACTAGTTACCTATGACAGGCAGAATCATTTTTCACTGAATTTTAACTAAAAGATGTAAAAACTGAAATTTTGTTTGTGAGACTCTACTATTCTAAAAACTTGCTACAGAATTATATATATTTTAGGTAAGGCAAGCCTGTATTAAAAAAAAAAAAGTTTGGCTAACAATATTCTCAGCAGTCAAAGTGTTCTAGAAAGCTCAAGCTTTGAAACAGCCCCCCTCTCCATCCTACGTCTTTGAAGTCCAAATCTAGGTCCCACTAAAGTAAAGGTCTCACAGTAACCTGCTTTTTCTGACAGCAGAAGGGAAAGCAGCCAAGTGAGATAGAGTTTTCTCACAAAATTTTTACAGTGGCAGAAATTAAAAAAAAATAATATCAGATGCCAAGTGACTTCCAGTCCATCTGCCAGATCAGAGACTGGAGCAAGTTTAAATGACGACCAAAACTTTTGGAAGCTGATGTGAGCAGAAGTATTCCTCTTCAGAACCTTCCTTCCACCCCTCAAAATTCAATAAAATTCACAGAGTTTTGCTGAAGTTCAAGAACACTTGTCTAGCATTTTGGAATTATAAAAGTGACAAAGAAACAGAAGTTAAATTTTTTAAGATGCTTTTTGCACTCAAGAATTTAAACAGATTTGTTTCGAAGATGAGGCTTTCATTTCTCAACAGCTCACACCTCTTCTTCTTTTGATGGACATCAAATATGTCAACTTGATTGGAGTGACTACAAAGCCTTTAGAACTGTTTGCACAGAATCAGACTGAATCAATTGTCCCATCTTCTTTTAATGACAAGAGTCAATTGCTGTGAATTATCTTAAAAAGAGTCAGCTGGACAAGCCAATTGCTTTTGTCTGAGCTTGGACACTTTGGCCAGGAGAAATGTAAGAAAGGTCGTTATTTGTTTTAAATATGAAGGCTGTTATACTACATAGAACTGATAAAGTTATTTCTCTCACCTGCTAAAAGTAAACCACCAAAAAGTAACAACTTACACTTTCTGTCATTATACTGGCTTCTATCCAGAAGCAGAAAGAGCAGTACCAACAGTTCTGCGAGTAGGTTATTTTATTGCTAAGGAAAATGAAATCCTTCTCTCTAATCCAAAGGGTTGCATTAGTGGAGAGGTCATACAAAAAGGGCTTCTATCGAGTTCAGGCGCGCTCGTACCTAAATAGAACTGAAAGTTCTGTGTATGTCTCTTCAGCAGTATTATGTGCTCTCCAACTGGTAACAATAAGGAGGAATAAAATTAGTCCTTGCCCATAGTTGCAATTATTTTGGGGCAGGTACACTACAGCAATAAATACAGGACCAGAGACATGAGGCAGCAATTCAGAAGGAAAAAGTTACCATGTACACACAAAAAAAAAAAAAAAAAGAAAGGAAAGAAAATGCAGGTTTTAAAATGCATGTATGCAAATTCATGGTATCTTGGGTATTCATAACAGTGTAAAGTGAAATGCAGTTTATGAGCATGAAGTATTCTCATGGTTGGTTTAAACTATTGTAAGTTGCACTGCATTTACCCATTATAAATACTACTTAAAAACAATTATGACCCATAAGTAAATGCTTTTGCTTGAAATGTTGCTTACTATGGAAGGTACTATACCTTTATCATTCACCTTTAAGTTTCAGAAATAGATTACAAGAAAGGCAGAACTGAAATGTTTTGCCCATGAAAAGAACTCAAGTATGCTAAGTCTTTTCCTGGATACTACATTTATGGCATCAGAAGAATTTTTGCATGGAAAGGGAAACAAACACACGGAAGGCAGAAGGGATCAAGCAAGATGGCAAGGAAGCAGACCCAGAAGGAGCATAAGACAAAATCCAAGAACTTTAAAACATGCATATTTCCTAGTTTTAGGTATGAAAAAAATTTGAAAGATTTGGGCTTTAAATTTTCAGCTTAAATGAAAACTTAGTTATGCTAAAAAGTCAGCTTTGAAACAGATGACTTGAAACTAGTTTTAGCACTGAAAGGAAAACAGGTTGTTGCAATTCAATGGAGAAAAATAGGATTTTTCTATGTAGACAAACTCTGCAGTGATCAATCAGTCTAATAAAGTAGCAGAACTGGTTTGGAGGACTTATGCTTAACAATTATAATTATGGAACAGTATCAGTGATGAATACTCAGTGTTGTGAATACAATAGTATTGTATTTTTAGACCACTGTATAATTTCTGGGCACACTTTGATGATTTTGCTGGCTACTCACCTATTTTATAAATCAGCAGGAGATTTGACAAGATGAGAAAAAAGTTTCCTCCTCCCTAGATTTATATATGTTCAGTTATATTCATTGTTACGCTGTTCTGAACAACTTACTCATTGATTTATGGTATGTGCTCTGTAAAACCTTTTTAATGTTTTTATGTGCCCTGCATGTATCTCTTACTTTAAAAAAAAAAGCAGTAAAATTTCAAGAACAGTTTCAGAAATTAGATTCAGCACAAAAAAAGTTATATAAATTGCCTCTTTTTCACAAAATTAATACACATCTATTTATTCCTTATTCTTCATCCTCAGGGAAGTGAAGGAAACACCAATGGCTTACATCATGTGTCAACACAAAAACAAGCAAAAAGAGTTTAAAAGGAGCAAGAAGTGACTCATGACTTCAGCAGGACAAAAATTTTCAGTGTCCCATAGTTCTACAGGTTTCCCCCCAATCTTTCTTGCTGAAGACATCTCAGGTTGTCTTCATAATATCTGCTCTCACAGGGAGAAATTATGAAAAAGGAGGCAGGTTTAGGGTACTAAGCCAAATTAAATTTATATTCATATGTTCTAAAACTGTTTGGATCTCTGTCCTTCGCTGCCAGAAAGGTTAAGGGCTTCTCTCTTTTAGTACCTTTCTCAGAAAAGGGTACACTGGAAATGAGCCAGTATAATCCTCCCTCTCTCCCAGGGTTAGGTCAGAATTTTCCCTCTTTCCCATCAGGGAGGCAGAGGAAACAGATTCTAAGGACCCTATGGATGGTACCTCCCTTTTTTTCCATGCCCCTCTGAGCAACAGATGGGCTGCTCAGCTGGTTTACTGCCCTTTGTCTCTCAGTTGTTTTCCTTTCTTACCCCTGAAAAGCAGCTGAAAGTTAAGTATAGGGAAGAAGAAATGCCCTGTTGGCAAATTTGAAAGAAAATAACACTCACAAATTCTTTCATAATTGTACCCACTCTAATGACTTAAAGCAGGTGCCACTGCAATACCCCACTCATTACCCTGTAAGGCTTTAATCTAAAATATTGTCAGTGCTTTTTTTTTAAAAAAAAATACATTTAATTCCTTAAATAACTTTTTCTATTTCTGGGCATTTAGCCCAACCAGTCCTTAGTGCTATTGTAATGCAAGTAATAAATAATCATTCCCTCTCCACTGACTAAGAAAATAATTGTTCCTATTTCACAGTTGAAAAAAAAAATTACTTCCCAGATTCCCCAGAAAGTCTCCTTGAGCCTGTCAAATGCCACAGCCACAAGACTCCTTTGCTTCTTTCTAAGATATCAGGTGACTTCCCCAGTTCCATCAGAAATATGAGGCATTCTACAGAATGAAGCCACAGGAAAAAACAGGCAAGTTTCTGGAAGAGTCTGTTCCTAGGTGCTCTCTGGGGAGCACTTGCAACTTTGCACATCTGATACTTGGAGCAGGGACACCTCCCAGCAGGAGGTCTGAATCTACTCCATAACGGGGAATTTGAAAGCTTTTGGAGAAGTAGCACAGAAGAACACTCTATAACACACAAGTAACACTACATACCCAAGGTTGTCACCCTAATACAAAAGCAGGTTTGGGGCAATCCAAACCTTCTTCCTTGTAAAACTTCAGTCTAAGTCAGCAGCTAACTCAAATTCAGAGCACTTTGGGCATGGTAGCAGCTGGGAACCAGCATGAGGGAGAAGATAAACCACAGCCAGAAGATAATGCTGACAAGCAGCTGTTAGTATGGAAGAGGGCTAAAACAGCCTTAAATAACACCTTTCAAAGGCACTTAGTACATAGAAACTCAAAGTGAGGTTGAAAAAAATTTAAATGGATCAGATTTAGCACATAATGAAGTGCATTTTTGGTTCACCTCATCAGTGGAAAATAAGAGACCAGCAATACTGCCAAAGTGACATATTCCATAGAGACAGAACAGAACATGCTGGGAACAGCTTGTCTCAGCATATCATGTACGTTAGACAAGGTAATGTCGTACATCCCCCAACCACAGCTTTGGCCACGTCCCCAGGAGCCAGCACATTCCACAGGCTCTGTACTTCTCTGTTCAGCATACACCGTCCCTCACGTATTTCAACCTGATGCCTGCAATGCAAGCAGCAACACACTGTCTCATTGAAATTCCTATGCCAGGCTTGCGATGGCAGAAAGCAACAGCACCCTCCCAACCTGCTCCCCCCACCTGTGCCCACTGCATTGAGTCCCAATGCTTTACTATTCCCAGCACGATCAGCAAATGTGGCAGCCAGAGCACGCTCCTACCACAACCCTTGCCCACATGCCCACCTCCCTCACAAGCCAGAGCTGAGGAATACAAAATTGTAGACACCGAGTATTTTGAGAAACAGCTTAATGGAAGTTACCAAGGGATGTGAATCTGACTTTATAACAAAGAGGCATGTACCAATTTGAGTTGGAGTCCAATTCCCAAAATGATATTATCTGTGTAGTGTTAATTCTTTATTATTCAAAAGATTGCTAACTGTTCATATCTGCACAAATGTGTTCATGCTTCATTCATTCCAAGTCAATAATAATGGATTCTTACTATTGATTATACATGAGCCTTTTTGTCCTATCGTAATGAAATTTTAATGTTGATGGTCCCAAAACTATTATTTCAACCTAATAACAGCAAGGCTTGACAATTACCTCGCTCTGTGAATTGCAGATAGAACTAATAAGGTCATTCTTAATAACTTTTTGTTTACCTGACATTTGGTAATTTCATAGTTATTATGTATTATTTTAAAGTCAGAGGAGTGTTTTGCAAAGAAATGTTGTCTCCCCATGGAATAAAATACAATTCTGCCTGGGGAAAGCCTTTCCCCTGCCGGCTCCCTGACCTGAAGTGGGGCACTTGCTGCCATTTACCTGAGCCCCTCAGCCCAGGGGAGAGGAGCACAGCTCCACAGCTGCACTTCAAAAACACAATTAAAAAAAAGGGGGGGGCAGGGAAGGAGAAGGCAAGAATCTTAAAAACTTGGAAAAATCTGTAAGGGAAAACTTAATTTGAGAATCAGCAGGAAAAGGCCAACTAGTGACACAGTATTAGCCAGATTTAGAGAACTGGAGGGTGTTTCCATCTCACTGTGGATGCAGCATTGGTGTGGGACTGTCATCAGGAGGTTTCTCCCCTTTCCCAGGATAAGCAACTGCCCCCTATCACCACCAGACCATATCCGGGGAGCAGGGAATTTTATTCCCAAACAGATCTCTTCCCCTTACGTGGCACTGCTCACTGCCTGGTCTGTCACCTTGCTCTGTTCCTGCCATGTGAGCAGGCCACCCTGCTGCTGCTGCCAGCAGATCCCACTCCTAGAGCACCACAAGCACCCCAGGACTAAAACCACACTTCACCAAAGAGCACACTTTTCCCTCTAATATTGGGCTGTTTCCAACACTTTTAATCCTTTGAAGGGCTGCAGAAGCGCTGTTAGCCCTGTGCTGTACCCAGGTTGCCCTCCCCATGCCATTGACAGGCTGTGCCTCTCCACAGGGCAGGGCAAACTCTCCAAAGGCAGCCAAGGAAACAGCTACCCAGCCCCAAAACCAGGGCTTCTGGTCCCAAAAGCAAACATTCACCATATGTGGTGGAGGAAACTGGGAGAAACTAGCAAAAAGGAGACCACTGGAAGGTTTCAGCAGCAACTCCACATTGGCCAAATGACTGCCAGCCTCTGGGGGAAAGAGCAGGAAGAGAAACAGCAGCTGTGGAAGGCCTCCAAGTCCAGCCAGGCACGGAAGTACAGAGCAAGCAAACAAATGGGATTTGAACGGATGTTATTGGAGTAAACATGTGTGTAAGTGCTCTCAATGTTACCAGGTTAACAATATGTAGAAGCACAGTGACAACCTGAGGTGATGTCCTGTCCCAGGATCGGGATTCCACACACCACCCTCTGCTCAGACACATCCAAACCTGTGATTTTGCTATAGAAAGCCCGCACTCAAGGGTACTTTGCCTGTGAGACAAAGTCCTTAAGGATCTTTCAATTTGGGAAAGATTATATTACACAGAACAAACTTTCCTGCTTGTTCAGGTCTGTGTGCTGATGGCAGGTTGGATAAATTGAGGAATGGGGCTATAAAATCATTTCGGAAATGATGAAGGATTCTGGTGAGAAAGCTGGCAAGCCTTGCAAGATACTTGCATGGGATTCCCTAATTCCATGCATTTTCCAAGGAAATAGCCACACTTTCTTGAAGGAAACAGTTGTGCCTATTATCTTCACTACAGCACTGGCACTTGCCTGGCCCTACCCTAGTGTTCAAGGTCAACAGGGTAGAGGGAACATTAACAAACACTTTTAATAAAAACCATTTCTGAAGCAGGAGACAGACAAAAAGAATAAGCCATGGTAATCATCAAAAAGAAATCCCAAGGCTAAGACCCCTTTTTGTCGCCGTTTCTTGGTTAACCAGCTTTTTTAGCACTATGGAGATGCCCAATACGACACGGATACAAATGTTGGAAATAGCTATTTGCAATTGTTACAATCTGCTTCCAATTACTTCATTCCCCAGACATACTGAAATAGTCAGGGTTTGATTTAACATAACATTCAGTCCAAGGCAGGTAATTTTACATGGGTAAAGAATGAATTTCAGAAGGAAAAAAAAAAAATCATATTGAGCCTGTACTCGGGCTTACTGAGCAGTAGCATCACGTCCACTGCTTCAATGTATAGCAGGGGTTATGAAAATGACAAAGAAGAGTTTACTTTTCCCTAAATTCTGTTTCTTTCGTTGCTTTATTTTCCAACACCTCTTGCACACTTCTTTTGTTACACTGTTTGAAACCTAGACAGTAACTGCTGTGATGAAACTATATCTATCATTATATTCCGAAATTCCTAGCTAAGTGGTTTTAGGTTCCTCAGCTAAAAGTTTGCAGGAATTACTTAAAACAGAGAAAGAACATCCACTTATGTTAATATGTCTTATGGAAATCTACTTCTGCTAATTGAAATGTACCTGTCCTTGGAAAAAGAAAATAAAAATCTTTCCCACTCTCCTGAGAACAAAAAAAGGCATTCAGCTTTCCACAAAAGAACTGAATAAACAAAGAGAACCTCCACACCACACAGCAGAAATGTTAAATTTGCTATGAAGCATCAAGTCAATGTTTGCCACACAGGAAATACCTCAGTTTTCATGAAAATTTCTTTCACATGTATTACATGGTGAATGTTGGATTAAAAGACTGGAATCAGGAGATCCAAGTACTGAACCTTCCAGTGAGAAGCTTGCAGATGATTTTGCAGACTGTTTCAACTTCCTCAAGAAAAGTAAGTTTTGTTGAGCTCAAAAGAGGAAAAGTATCTGGATGGAGGTTTTCCAAAGTCTTCCTAAAATTAAAACCGAAGCTAATTTACAACATAGAGACTCAAACTGAAACAAAATCAGTTAAAAAGTCAATAAGTGATTTTTTTTTTGCATATTTTCCCTTATCTCAAAAATATAAACAAAACTTAACAAAACAAAATGGGCTTGCTATTATCTACCATCGCTACTCTCACTGCAATCTGTGAAAGTTGTAAGT